ACCCAAGGAGGGGTCGCTATGAGTCAGGTCTGACTCGACGGCACATAACAACAACAACAACAACTTAAAAGAAGAAAATACATCATGAAAAATTACATTATGTTTAAAAGTTAACAAATTTATGAAATATCAAAAATATAGGAAAATGACAATATATTTTTATTAAATCACAGCTTTACTTTTTTTCTTTTTGGTTGCATACACATTGATTGCCATTTTGCTTGACAATTTTGTAATATATTCTTTTCTCTAGAAGGAATAGAAAGATAATTTACACTATCCTTTAACATAGCTGATGAAAATTTGTTTTTAATTTTTGACAGTTTATAGAGGGTTCTTTCAAATTTTCAACTCTTTATTAATAATACCATGTAATTTTTAGGATTATTATCAAATTTGGAAAAACTTCTATAGAGTTTTGTTGCTTACATCTGAACTATAAGATTTCAGGGCATTTTAAGTTTTCTATGGAGTGAGTGTTGTTAAATATTCTTCGAATTGACCAAATTCAGAGCATTCCTAGAAGACATTCCAAAATGAGATAACCAGCAATAACATAACTAAACATGGAAGTGACTGCAAAACCCAACAATATATCCCACACAATCCTTAACCAGATCTTAGAAATGTCCACTGCCACTCTGGTTACAACAGGAGGAAAAAGCATGACTGAAGGGCAGCTTAAGTGGAAGGAGACAGCTGTCTTAACTGATTATGGTTGAGATATCTTATTTCTTCAAATTTTACAAAAATATATGAACATGTGAAAATACTGCCTTTCTTGGAGGGTACCATGAAAACAAGCTTTATTAAACTAGTTCCTATTGAGTTGATTCCAACTCATAACTACTCCATATATGCCAGTGTAGAACTGTGCTGCATTGGGTTCTCAATGGATGATTTTTCAGAATAGGTCTCCAGATCTTTCTTTCAGTGCACCTCCGGATGAACTCAAACCTCCAACATCTTGTTAGCAACCAAGTAAGTTTAGCATTTGCACCACCTAGGGAGCTCTGGTAGCATAGTGGCTAAGACACTTGCCTGCTAACCAGACGGCTGGC